TAGATAATACGTTCAATGATTCAAATCCGTGATCCTATCTGAATATGTTAAACAATTGACTGGAACATTAAAATAACACACACTTTCAATTACACATACAATTCTCTTTTATTTTGTTTACTTATCTTATATTTATCTTCATTTAATGCAGGCTGTGGCATTTTTTGATTCATTTCATATATAAAAGTGATCTGTTTTCTTAATATACACAGACCGTAGTCAATATTTAGTTGAATGAAATTTCTTCTCACATCACTTGCGTATAAACACATTCTGTTGTTTGAACACGTTGTTGGTTCCATAACACATACCTTGTCCTTATGTGTACAAAAACAATTTGTCATAACCTTGAATTTACCTTGTAATCCTTGAGTCATTCTATGGCCTTGGATAACACGATAATTTCTTATTCTTAGAATATTAAAGATTCCCATTGTGAAAATGAGAACAACACATATAAGCGAACAATATTGTTTTCAATTAGATCGTCATCAGGCTTTACTCTAATATACATGAATATTTATACGAAAATCTTAAACGAATCAGGGCAATATGGGTCAATAATCACAAGGAAGTAGATTAAGTCACTACACAAGTTTATAGTAGGAAGACTGGTGAACTGATAATAGTAAGAATAATAAAATACGATAACAAAAGTCTTATCATCAATAATTAAACGTTGGGAATAGAAGGTCAAACAAACATGGGTAAATAGACTAGGCATAGTAATCACAAAACATTAAAATCATTACGTAATAAGATGTGTGTAAATAATTAGATAGTGAAGAATACAAAGAAGCGGATAATGACAAACAAATAATGGATGTGAAAATAAGCTTAGCGATAACACAAATAGAATAAAATAAATAATAATAATAATAAAATTTAAAAAAATATAAATAAATAAAAACTTGTTAGTTAAGTTATAACCGGCCATGGAAGGGATAGGGGGGTCACGCATTTCTTCTGTACACATAAATTGGGGTTGTATGTACGAATTCCAATGGCTTCAGCTATATGTAGGAGACGGAAACGGACTCCGTCGGGAAAAGATGGAGGTATACGATAGATAACTCGAAATGATTTCGATTTATCTACAGCATGACCGCTATTCTTTCTCTCCCCTTGGTTATTTTCAAATGAACTTTTATTTGTTTGACCTTTATTATTTTTCATATAAACATGTCTCTTACACATTAATACAAATACCTATTTATAAAGAAATCCTTCACGTTGATTGGATGACTTATTCAGTATACAGTAAACCGAAGAACCATGTACCTATTTATATTCGATAATTTTGTTGTTTGATTATATTTTCCTTGAAAAAGCTTGGACCAGATTGCCAAGCGAAACGTTGGATTTACTTGAAATACATTCGCTGAGATTTTACAAATATATTCTTCTTTTTAATGCCACTTTTGAAATGTTGTCACAAATTAATGTTGTAGAATATTCTTTCACATTCGGTATATATTTACAATATCCAGTTAGCAATTTAAACCCATTATGTAATTATGATTTTTAAATATCACAGGTTGTAAGGAGCTGACGAAAACCTACGAAATAAAATGAATTCATGCTATTCTGCTAGAATCTTTGTTCTTGCTCTTTTCAAAATGATAAAGGGAACTATGTGTATGACACTTCAGAAACGTTAGTGCATACATAAAGGAAGATTGACAGCAGAAGTGTTGTATATATGGGCTAGTAAGAACAGCCTGAACGGAAAAGTTAATATTCAACTAGCAACTATTTGGCAAATGTTTGTTAACAAGCTGTTTCACATGCATCGTTATTCTGATCGGAATTCATATGGGTTATTTTAAGACTACAATTATGTATTTGAGGATTCTCATTTTACATGCACATCAATGATTCAAAAAAAATTTCAACCTTTACATGGCACTTTTATTTTTCCTTCACAGAAAAACAAATTAACATCGAATATCAACTATTCACAATTGATTGATCACTGGGTGGCGATCAATTTCATGTGTGTCTAGTCTTCGTTAGTGCAGATCGAAAGCTATTGTGGCTCGGATAGCTCAGCGGTAACGTCTCTGACTGTGAAGCTGGGTGACACGAGGTCTAATTCGTCAGGGAGCACCAGTTCCCTCAAGATTACAGGTACATCTTGCTGACGAGTGCCAAATAGCACGAAACCCGAGTTCAGGGTTTTCTGTTGACTACCTCCAACCACCATCTAATCTCAGTATCAACTATTACTAACTCAACCTTACACACACACACAAACAACTCATTCAGTCATTTATTTTGACACTAAACTTTTCACATGATTTACATATAACTGACTCATGTTATCCTGTTTACTAAAGTCATCATCTGGATATGACTGGATAAGCACAGTAAAGATTTGATCTGATTGTTAAACATTATATAATTCTTTGATGATTTTGATTATTATCCTGAAGAAGTCCAGACAAGTTTACTGGACGAAACGCTGGAATGATTTTAAATTTTAATCGCTGAGATTATCTCAAATAGAATTTTCACATATAATATCTATAGTGATTGTTTTAATTTTCTACCACACATCTATCTCATCATTTCATTTATAAGTAATATTAATATTGATACTTCTATATTCATCAGTATATTACAATTGTGATTGTTAACTTCACTCATATTTATTAAAAAATTTGTCAATACTATTTGACCTTAAATCAGTTACCATAGTTTTCGATATTTGGAATGTAAATGATTATCTCTATTACAATAAAGAGTATTTCCATGGGTAACGTCAAGTGACCTCAAGTACATTGTCATTAAGTCTTGTTGAACTATGGTGAATAATATATCTGAAGTTGACTAACATACGCTAGATAATAATTTACAAATAGCAATAATGATAATGGTAATAATGATGGTATTATAGCTCATACATTAGAAGGACGTTTTCATGGTTCATGAACTATCAATTTCGTATACTATACTCCGCTTACTATAGTAATCGTGCTTGTAAACGTAAATATCATTTTTTTAAAAGTCTTATGATTAATTTTTTGGTAAACCAATGGTTTTGACGAAACATAAGCACTTTGAAATGAAGTACAGTCAATTTTCAATGTATACCATTGATCTCTTTAAGATTTAGAAATCTAATTGATGAAAGGATGAACAGTATAAGTCAGACTGAAGTATGTTTAGTCCTACTTATTTCTGTATACATTTGTCAGAATAGGGTTGTAACGATTGCTGAGTTGTATTGAAAGCATGAACCGATGACGGTTAGACAATCACTGAAAACGTGGAAGTACTGAACATCTTTTTCGTCACAGTATGGGACTACTCAGCAGTGCACATCCCTGACCCCACAGGTTATAATCGAGCCCAGAGCATTCGGTCTTTCTCCCAAACACTTAATCTCCAGATCAGTGAACCGACATTTAATGAGGTTATTGTCTAAATTCAATCAATCCACAATATTGCCTGGTTTATTGGTAATAAAACCAAGTTATTTCGTTTTAATTATGAAATGTTCAAATACTAGAGATTTATTAGTTTATGTTTAAGGTATAAAAGAGAATAATGAAGTCATTTTAAAAGTTATTTCTGACTGGATTAATCGAAAAACACAAAACTCCACTACTTATAACTAGAACGTTCACTAAATTACATAAAGAAAAACTGCATTTCATTAAGTAGAGAGTACTGATTTCATATTACGATTAAGAAGCTTTTATATCAAAGTCAGAATCGGATAATTCACAACACAATACTTGATTTTCAACTTATTTCACGTTGTTTAAATATCTAGAGAATATTACTATTATTATTGGAAGCAAGTAACTTAATAGGATGGAAACTGTCGAAAGTAAACATCTCGAGTGACTTCAAAAGAAAACATTATCCAGACAAGAAATTAGAACTCACTTTAACATATTTAGTGAACAGTTTAATCTTCGACACAATTTACGGTTAAACAGGAGATGAAAATATTACTCATGAATAACCTGAAAAGTTCCTTATAGTTAAACATTAAATGAAACCTACAAGCGATCATACATATAGTCAAGTTCAGAACTGAAAAGTATCAATTTATAATTGCTTATTGTATTATGTGATTGATATTTAAACTTATTTTACATATAGATATGGATTATAGTTGCTTCTTAATAATACCTACAATTTAATTCTTCTGAGATGGTGAAGATTTGTTGATCAGGTGGATGATTTTGATGGACATTTATTCTCTGGATGGTTTGGTCGTGGAGCTCGACATCGAGGTCTATAGGACAAGCTGTGAGCCATATGTGGAGAATTTCGAACACTTCACTTCTACCGGACGTTCGTGCTGATGACGTTCAGAAGAACGATGAAAGTTCAACAGTCAAACCATCCAGCTCAGAGAACAAACCTTCGCTAGTTTAATTCTTTTTCAGTTAGATATTCTTAAATATAGTGATAAAATGATAGTAAACTGTACGAATAGGATAAACTGATAATTGATTTATTTGTACAACGTAGAGAATATGATAAAACTGATGGCGAATGAAGATTTATTTCATCCTCCTCCTCCGTAGTAGTAGCAGTAGTGGTAGTACACGACCTAAACCAATGTAATTAAACTACATTCAATTATAAATCGATTGTACTCACATGTGATCATTGGTCAATGAATATCACTCAAACACAACTGATATAAAGGAAATACCAAAAAACATCAGTATTCCATAGAATTACCAAAAATGTATGATGGACAAACGAAGTTCACATTAAGTTAATACAAAGAGTATCATCCTAAATAAATGTCACACTAAAATATAATGAATATTATACGGGACAATTTATCACACTGAATCACAGATGGAAGTAATACTGAACACAAATGATGCTGAGTAAAAATGTGTTTCTGCCTTTTTTTCATAAACATACTACTTATATCTGTCGACATAAGTAGCACATACCACTATATACATACATATTTACACAAAAAATATCCGTTTCAGTGCCAAGAAAAAACAAACATTACTCACCTTCATTTTATATTTACAAACTGGATCAAATTCTCCACCCAGTATAATCATTGATGAATGTTTTATTTCATAAATAATATAAATCCATAATGTAACAAATAGCAATAGTGCAACTAAACGATATCCCGATGACATAATTATGTATTCACAATAGTAATGAGTGAATAAATGTTAGTAACTTTCACGTAGAGTAATAATAAATTCCAATTTTTTTGTTTTGCAAGTTACGGTCAATTTTATTGTAAAAATATACGGGACATATGGAATAATTGGTTGAGTAACAATTTAATTAAAATGAAATGAACTATTGATTTCAACAGGTTAGTTGATTATTCATTTATCTGTCAGAAAATGCATTGTCTTCTTATGGTTAATACAAAATGAATATGAGAGAAATCACCCAATCAGAAAGCAGTTTCAATATTGTCCAATCATAATAAAAGATTGTTTCTATAATATATAACAACGTCTTAGCAACCAATCAAAATAATGCATTTTGTGACAGTATTTGGCAGATAATTTGATGCTCCTATTGTTTGTGTTTTGTTATTTTTTATTGGCTTTAAAGTAATTAATTGTTATATATTTCTTGATGGTAAATTATTTTTGTCGTATTATCAGTAAGATAAATGATTTATGTGTAATATACATAAAATCGGGGCAAGATATTGGGATACATATTTTTGGGTATACATTAATAAGAGCACCAATAAAGATAGGGAACAACAAAGGGTAGTGAAATGTAGACTGGGTTTGTGAAATTGTTACAAAACAGGCAACGAAATACAATCGCATTCCAGATTCAGTGAAGGTAGATGAGTATAAAGCAATAAGTAGAATAAAAATATAATTGAGAAGTATCACTAGCGGAAGCAGCATAACAAATAGTGGCTGCAGCATCTACTGGTTTATTGTATGCAGTGCTATCTCAACTTCCAGCTGTTATTGTAATGAAACAGAGAATTCGACGTATATGATATAGTCATCAGTCACGCTTATCAAATCCAAGTTTGTTGAATCCAATAAACTTGTCATGTAAATGTAAAACAACTATGAGGGAAGAGAATTTCCTGCTTCATGACAGTGAGCCTGATAAAAATATAGCTTCGATATTTTCTACAACTCAGAATATGGGACTGTTGAAGAAATGTCTTTATTGGTATGATGAGGAGACATTCAAAGCATCACCAACTTTGTTTACTTTACTCTGTGCAATTCATGTTATGAACTTTGATATTATTTTTCCCTTTATGTATGTCGTAATTCATGATTAAAAGTAGGAATTCATATGTGTACACATTCAATAAGTTTGAAAAAGCGCACTAAGCTTTATATCCATCAACTACCGTTCTTAACTACCAACATCCAGCTTTATCATGATTTCAAAAAGTATTTCCGAATGCAGTACAGCAAGGTTGCCTATTCATTCTGAATTAATAGATATGGCGGAGACTTCAGCAACGTTTTATGGCCGACGAAAATTTTTCTGTGTATTCATTATCTGACAGTGTCATACTGCTTAGGGTCGCATTTGGTAGTTTAATGGAGTCTCTATCCTACTGAAAAAATGATGAGATCAGAGAGTTAATCAACTTTTTCGAAGGCACTTGGAGCTGAAACCCGCAAGACATGCCGCAGTTACTCGAATTTCTGGACTACAAGGAGGACCGTCAATAATTCAGTTGTGGAAAACCTTCATAAAACGAAAAACTAAACGGGTGACATAGCCAACTTCTGATTGTCCCTCATCGAAGTATACGGGGATTCACTGATGCTCTGGAAAAAGGATGAAATTTACATAACGTTCTCCTATCCACACTGTCAAATGCTTTCTCATGGTCAAGGAATTTGATGTATAGTGACGAGTTCTATTCGATTGATTGCTCAACAATTATCCGTAGTGTTGCGATTCGGTTTGTGCACGAACGATGCTTACACAATGCAACCTGTTGATCTCGAAATTTTGGCGTCTACTGCGTCTTTCATCCGGTTCAGCAACATTCTATTGAAAACGTTTCCTTGTGTCGATAGTAGTGTGACGCCTGTGTAGTTCTCGGACCTCCTTTCCTTGATAATATTGATGAGTATCCTTCTTTCCAATCTATCGGTACTTGTTCTTCCTCTCGAGTCTGCCTGAATAGAACGTGGAGCATGTTTGCACTTGCTTCTATGTGTGACTTCAGTGCTTTACCTGGTATATTGTTAGGTCCTGCTGCTTTCTCGTTCTTGATTTGTCTGACGGTCATACTGATTTTTTCAATGATTGTTTGAGTGACCATCTATAGGAATGTCTGTAGGTGCTACTTCGATGTCCGCTGGATTCAATGGAGCTGGTTTATTCAACAGTTCCCCGAAGTATTCCACCCATCTGTTCGGTTGTTTAATATTTCCTTCTCTTGCAGTTTTTTCCGCATATTTCTGTTTGTCGGCTCTAATACTTCTCTTTACTTTCTTGTTTGCTTCTGTGTATTCAGCTTGTGCCTTGACTTTCTCTGTTTTTGTTCGACTGTCGTTAATCGCTATCTTCTTGTTCTTCCTTTCTTGAATCATGTTCAGGGTTTCCATAGAGATTTATTCCTTATGATGGTGTTTATTGCAGTCCAGAACTTTCTGACACGTTAAAGTTAGTGCTTCTCTGACCACTTTCCAATTGTTCTACGCATTAGTTTTTTCTTCTTTCAGTACATTCTGTAGGGCTTGGAACCTGTTGTTAAGAGCTATCCTGAATTTGTTGAGTTTGAAAGTATCTCGAAAGAAGGCTGTATTGAAGCTTTGTAATGCTGTTTCTCCATTTGTCCAGAGATTTGCTTGTACATAAAAAATCCCTTTGAGAATCATTATTTTAATTTATTATATTGGGTCACTTGATATATTAGTAAAAATATATTTGTTGAACAAATAAACCACAGTTTTAGGATGATAACTTCCCAACGAGAAGGGATAGTGTCCGATTATTTTATGATATATAGCTAGCAATGAAATCCAATACTCGAGTTTCGCTCTATTTAGGACGCCTAAAGTGGATATACATGTACATCCATCTTAGATTTTATGTTCACTTCGAGATTTGAACCCGGATCATTTGTAGTAATGAAAATCCATTCGTCTTTATTTATCTTATTGTAAATCTTAAGTTTCGGCATAATTTCACGCAGCTTATAATAAAAATTTAAAGTTAACTAACACTACTTGAATAATGTTTTCTCAACAACCAGTTCATTTCACACCGTCAACTTAATCTCATTCTTTATTTTTCAGAGTATGAAGGAATTTTTTTCTACGTAAAGTATACGACTAGACAGCGCTGCCCAAATCAATATAAGAAATTCCTAACATCTAGTAGAAATATGAAATAACAACGAAAACAAATTGATTTCAGTTGTGTGCTGTTTTGATTCAAAAATTCTATGAAAAACAATTTTGTGTTACTTTTTACACAATAAGACAAATAATAATCTTAACATTCCAAAAGTCAATATATTATTCACTGGCCAACTGTATACTTTAATAATGGAACGAGTAAATATGTCAATGAAGAAGAGTACGACTAAAAGAGACTCATATTAACAAGAACTAGGGATATGGAAGAGGACTAATAAAAAGGGTGCATATCAGTGATAACGAGGTGTAAAATAGGAAATGGAATGTTTAAGGATATGAAATTTATTCAGTTTGCCCTTTGTCCACTTGCATCTACGAACAATAAAATAATCTCAGAGTATTTCAAGCATCCAATGAACATTCTACTTTCTATAAATACCGTAACTTTTCTATTTCGCTAACAGTTTACTATTCATATTATAACATGCATCCAGTTCGGGGAATGAGAAGGGAATCTTTTTGATCTGCTTAACCCTTTAGACCACTGAGCCGGCTGCCGACAGTGGTTTTAAGATGGATTTCCTGCAGTTCCAGTGAGAAGCCGTGGTCAATGGAGTTCAACGGTGTCTGTTGTGAGACACTCACTGAAGGTAACGGTGGACTGGTTGGAGTTTGACATTAACAACGCCAGATGCTGGCTCAGTGATCAAGAGGTTAAGCGTTTGCGCGCAAGACTGAAGGTGCGAGTCCTGCGTGAGGGATCGTGCATGCACACTTCTGACGAGTCCCACACTAGGATGGAATGGCCGTTCAGAGCTCCCAGATTTTTAATGGTGGTCTAACATCCATCCATTCATGATATCAATCCAAGTTCAACAATCTCCGCAACTCTATACTGATAATTCCCAAATGTCTTTGTCCATAGGATATTTTGAATGTATTACGATGACAATAATTGATTGTTATAACATGACATTTGACCGGTTAATCATTTGTTATTTGTTCTGTTTATGTATTTTATTCGATAATAAATTGGAAATTTCTTCATTTCTATAATTGCAAAATCAACTTTAGCAGAAGGGATTAAAACGTGCATCAGAATCTATTTTGAACATGATTTTAAGAAAATTCATTTCCAACTTAAAGTCTTTTTTGTTTAAAGATGTAATCTATGTGGTCAAAAAGGTTGAATGTCGAAAAATATTTCTTTTTTATCATTAGGTGATAATCGAACAACATCTCTACGTGATTGAAGTAAGAAAAGATTATTGACCATTGAATATCAGGTCAATGACTTTGGTGTTGATGATCCTGAATCCGATATGATGAGTAATCAGATAGGTAGAGTTTTCTTTGAACCGAGTGACTGAAGTTTTGTTCTAAAGTGTGTGAAATAGTGCTGAAATTTAATGATGAATATATCTTCGTGAAGTGAACGTTGAATCTCGGATGCAGGTACATCCACTTGAGTTTTCTCAAATAGAATGAAACACGAGTATTGGATTCTACTGCTAACCATATGCTATCTATACTACATAAACTTGTGTCGTAATCTTTATCGAGGTAATCTCTACAAAATGTGCATATAATCAACTAAGACTGATAGAATTTCAATGGAAATACCAACAGAAATGAACTCAATTGAAGCCTCACCTCCCTGATGGATTCGACGCATTCGATCTGCACTAAGAAGGACTTGACACACCTGACATTGATCACCACGCAGTGATCAATCAATTGTGCTTCATGGTCATTTGATCTGTGCTCTACGATAATACGTTGTATAGTCTTCTGAAATTTATACACTGGTAGGGAGTTATCATAATAACAGTGATCAAAACTACTGACTTACAAACTATAGTTAATATCTCAGATTGAAATCATGAGTCAGTTGAAGCTAGACCACCCTTGAAAACCTGGGACCACTGGACGGCCGTTTCGTCCTAGTACGGGACTCCTCACCAGTGCGCACCCACGATCCCGCACCACGCGGGGCTCGAACCCAGGACCTACTGGCTTCGCGCGCGAGCACTTAAC